TGTTACGAGGTATGTCATTTTAATTTTTATCTTATCTCATCTGGACTAGGATAATTCTCTTTGTAAATTATTGAAGATTTTAAGTACTAGTACTTGGGAAAATATGAATGAAAAATACAGCAGCTTGCTTAAATTCTGTGAAGTCTGGGTGTAGGGTCAGGTCAAATGGAGTGTTTTCTCTTTACCTGGTGCTTTTTTTTAGTCCCAGTTTTAGTCCATGTTTTGCTCGCAAGTTAAATAATTATTGCTCAGTCTTGTTTGATAATCTCCCTTTGGAATCTAGGAGTAATGAAACCAACACTAATATTTTAATTCTTAAAGCTTTCAGGTTTGCATCTCAAACCCATAGAAGCTCCACAAAAAGAAAAATAATTTGCATTTTATTTTTCAATAAAGAAAAGACCAGCCACATTCAGAGAGGATGTACAGAACAGCTCAGTTATCCTGGATTCATAGAGGAGAAACCACAGGGATGTTTTTCTTTTATTATTACTTATCTATTCATTTATCTTTACTTTGGTTCATTGAATATGTTTAAAAACTATCACACCTTCCAAACTGAAACATCCAGAGAAGTGCCGTCTCCCGGCATTGTGTTTTTATAAAATCTACAGCCTCCTAGAAGGTCGGAACTGTTTAGCTGTTTTGTCAATTATAAGAAAAAAAACTAATAACATAATGAATGAAGCTTTTTAATCCTTAGCCTATTACCAAATACTCATACACAGTGTAGTTTGCATGGGATTCAATTGCACTGGTTCCTGTATCAGTGCCAGTAATCTAGTAATAGCTTATTAGTTTCCCATAGTTTAATTCACTTGAAATGCAGAGAATAATTAATGAGCAGAGTTTTGAAACTCTTAGTTTGAGGTATATTTAAGATGCAAGTATTTTAGTAGGGCCCTTTCTGCTTTACTTCAATTCTCTAATCACCAGAATGTAGAAAATAATGTATATTGTGAAAAAAATGTTCCACATAACTACAGACCACTTATTGTTAAATTCCACATTTTGCCACTTTGTTTTAGTTAAATCCTCTGAGAACCTGCAACCTATAGCTGCACCTGTCCTCATCTAACCCTGGGCTGCATGTCCAAATTATTTAAAAATCTCATCCCAAGGTGGTGGTGGTTCCACTTTGGTGAAAAGTTGGCAGCCCTGTTAATGACATTTTCTCTATCACATAGATAGATAGATAGATAGATAGATAGATAGATAGATAGATAGATAGATAGATAGATAGATAGATAGATAGATAGATAGACAGACAGACAGACAGACAGACAGACAGACAGACAGACAGACAGACAGACAGACAGACAGACAGATAGATAGATAG